AGTCAGAGAGTTTTAGAGCCCTAGATTCATCCCCAGAATCCAAGCCCTAAGCCTTAGAGCCATGGGTACCCAGAACCTAAAACCCTAGAGCCCCGGGTCCCTTCAACCTAAGCCCTAAACCATTAACCCAAAATGCTTGAAAAACACCCTAAACCCTTGACCCGAATTAGTTTGACCGAAATTTAAAAAATAAGACCAGAAGCAGCCAAGGCCGAGCTTGAGGCGAGACTTTCTTACCTGGAAGATCGCCCGATGGATGCTTCGGAAACCCGCTTTGTACAAAAGACGCCTGGCCTTTCTTTTTCGGGGCCCTAGATAGGGGTTCCTGTAATGTAGGGGTTCCTACAAGGTTCCTCTAGGCCCCTGCAAGGGTTCCTACGAGAGTCCTACGGAATTTCTAGGAAGGTTCCCATACGGGTGCTCTGGGGCTTGCTATAAGGGCACAACGGTTCCGATACTACACCCTTAACCCAAAACCCTGATCCTTACACCCGAGAACCCTGAACCCGAAAAGTGTACTCGGAGGGTACTTCCGGGCTCTTAAGGCTAAGGTCCTTAGTTAGAAGAACTCAACCCTAAGAGAAAAAATCTGCTGAGGGCATGCTACCACAAGACCACGAAGCCTTTGACCAGACCGTGGAGCCCCGAACCACGAACCCCCCTGACCCAGAGAGCCCCAAAGCGTTGACTTAAGGAATATATGGGCTTGAATGAAAGGTTTACTTAAGGAATATATGGGCTTGAATGAAAGGTTTACTTAAGAAATATGTGTATGGGCTTGAATGAAAGGTTTACTTAGGGAATATATGGGCTTGAAAGAAAGGGTGCTGAATTCTAGGGTTGAAGGTGTAGTGCTTCATTGAGGGCTATTGGGTTCTTTGTGAATGTGAGGGGGGGGCTTTAATGGGTATATTGCCGATAACTACTCGCACTGTGGATTACAGTGGAGTATTAGTTCACCCCCCAGAAGGCCTAGACCGTCTATCCGATCTTTAGCTATAAACCTTAAATACCCCTTGTAAACCCCCATAAACCCGTATATAAGCCACTAGAAACCCCAATATAAACCCCTATCAACCCCTATCTGGACCGCTATCCTTACCGTTGGTTAGTAGGGAAGGGAGGAATGGGGTACAATTCTAACTACTATTACTACCATTCTTCTATTCCGTACTAACCAAAGGTAAGTAACAAGACTACCACAACCAGCCTTCGCCTGGGATAGGCAGTAGATACCAATCCTCATAAACCCGTATACAAACCACTAGAAACCCCGATATAAACCCCTATAAACCTCCTATATCTGGACCGCTCTAAACCTCGGTACGAAGGAAACTCGTGCAACAGATTGCGCGGCTGAATTCGGTGGCCAATTTCCGAGGGGCCCGGCCGCCCAGAGGTCAAGCTTTCAAGGGTTCCTTTCAAGGCTTTACAGTGAACCCCATAAAGTTGGAAACCGGATAAAGGCCAAATAGTGCTAGGATTCCCTATACATTACTCTTAAGGATTGAGGCTATTGGGTTTCCAACTTTTGGGCTTCTACTGCAAGGGTTTCTATACGGATACCCCTTCGGGGGTGTTTGATTAGTATAGGGGCTGACTGTTTCGGGCAACTAGGGTTCAGACTTTAAGTGGGTTTGAGGGTTGTATGGTTCAGTATTTGTGGTGGTTTTAGGGTTCAGGGGTTTTGGGGTTTTTGGGTTCGGGAATATAGGGTTGCGGGTTCAGGGTTTTTGGAGGTTAGGGCTAAGGGTTCGTAGCGTTTCAGGTTTCGGGAAGTTTTGCATGAAGGCGTTCTCTATTCATAGCGATGGGGCTTTGGGGCTTCAGGTTTGGCACTTTGGACTTCAGGTCCCTCCAGTCTGACAACCCAGTACTCGGAGGCCCAGGGGACTTAGTAAATAGGTTATAACTGGGGTAAATCCAGTTAGGGAACTTCCAACCCTACTTACTAGCTTATTATAACCTACTGACTCAGTCCCCTTGGCCTCTAAGCAAGGCCTTTGGGGCTACTCGCCGCGAGAGGCATGACGAAAGCCTGCCCTGAACCCCAAACCCAAGTTGCACTAAGCCCCGGAGTCTCAAGTCACACTTCAGAACCCTGTAGAACGATGCAGACATCTATGAAAACCGCTCAGAGAGCTGGTAATCACTGTAATTGCTGGTGCAATGTAACAGTTAACAGCTTCACTGCCTCACCAAAACCACCCTCAGAAACAACCAACAGTCACCGTCAAAAAGCTCCATCCATCCATCGATCGATCGGACTGTCCGTCTGTCTATCTACCTGTCTAATTAACTACACGTCTTCCTATGTTTTGTTTATCTACCTCCCTATCTGTCGATTTGCCCAGCCATCTATCTAGCTATCTAGCTATCTATCTATGGATATATGTGTGTAACATACATATACTTGCTAGTACATACAAACATTCATGTATATATATATATATATATATATATATGTATATATACATATATACACACACTTATGAATGTATGTAAGTAAGTAAGTAAGTAGATGAGTAAGGAAGTACGACCCTGCAATACTCTGTCCTGGAACCTTCAACTCAATCAGGTTGGAAGAGACGACCTGGGTAGCGAAATTCTGGACTCGGCCAGGACCATTGCTTTGTCGGGGCTTGGGAGCTTAGGGCGAAAGGGCTCCACAAGGGGCTCTAACCCTTAAACCCTACCATAACCCTAAACCCCAAACCCTAATCCCTAACCGTAAACCCAAACCCCAACGCTAAAGCCTAGCAGTGCACTCCAGGGCTTCAGCCTGGGGTCGTGGCCCTCGGTACGAAATCACAAAAGACCAGTGTTATGAGAAGCCTGCGCCCTAATCTATGCCACATGGACCTTGTTTAGGGTTTGGACTTCTGTCTGAAGCCTGAACATCAACTCTAAAACCCCAAGCTTCCAGCCCTGAGTCTTAAACCTTAAGACCTAAACTCTGAACTCGACAGCATCCGTGCTAACTCTACAGCCGCAAACTTTCAAGTCCCAGGACGGTCCTGACTACCTTCCGGCTCAGCCGGAAACTTGGCGGCTCTTGAGCATCTTCTTCGGTTCCATTGTAATGCATTCCCCAGACGGGTTTGATCAATATAGGGGCCTAAACAATTACCAATACTATTTTGGGGTTCCTTATTAGTTTTAGTATAATGGGCCCCAAAACCCTATTCTAATTATTCTAATTATTAAGGGCCCTACATTAGTTGCGTTTTGTGGCCTCGAGAATGTTCATGAAGGTTGCCATCTACAGCTCAGGAAAGACATCACCGCAGCAAGCGAGGGCCGTCACTTTGCCGTGCATGCCATCCGTGATGCAACATCGCAGAGCGCAGGTGCCAGGATTTGGGATTTCCAATTTCAGGTCTGGTATTCCCGTGTTGGGGCTCAGCGTTCTGGTTCAGTGTTTCGGCTGCGATCGGCAAACTACATACAAAACAAGACGGATGCGAGAGAAGCATGCCAGGATCAAGACCTCGTCCTAATAGTGAACGATTTCTTCTCATACAGAAACGACCTTGGGTATTCGGTGCGGTATTGAATATAAACTAAGGGTACGGCTAAATTCAGATAAACTATTGGGTATTTTGCCATGTTGGAAATTTTCTTATGCAAGCTCTCGGATATCCTGGCTACTTTTTGGGAAATCCCTGGAGCCCGAAAGCCCTCAAAACGATCCTGAGGCCCTAAGCCCAAGCCCGTTGAAGCAGGAGCACCCAAAAAGTACCAGGCTTCTGGGTTCACTAGGGTTTGTGTTTCGGGGTTTAGGGTTTAGGGTTTAGGGTTTGTGTTTCGGGGTTTGGGGTCATAAAACTCAACAGCTCTGAAACGGAAGTGCAGGCGTAGCCATCGCTGTGAACGTGCCTTGGCAGTCTTCAAGGTTATGCTTCGGGGCTTGAGGACTTAGAGCTTCATACGGGGACCCCTTATTTAATATATATATATATATATACATATACATATATATATATATATATATATATATATATATGAATGTAAATGTATATTTATATGTATATGTTTATTTATATATATATATATATATATATACACACATTTGCTTGATTATTTTACGTCTTTAGATTGTGAGGTCTGCGGGCTCCTATATGCATGCTTAGAGGAGGTGGCCACTACGGAGGCACCGGTATTTCTAACCCCAAAGTGCTCCGAAGAACCGTGAGACCTAGTGACTTCTTTGAGAGGCAGTTCGATCTTGAAGCAATTCCGCTCATGGACTTTAGGGTTTTAGGGTTTAGGGTTTTTGTAGTTTAGGGTTTTAGGGTTAGGGTTTTAGGGTTTTAGTGTCGAGGGCTTGAGGGTTTGGGGTTTTAGGTTCTAGGGACTTGGAGTACTGACTTTGGGATTCAGGGTTTAGTGCCTGTCAGAAAAGCTCTCAGCCCCATAAAAGGATGAGCTCAAAACCACAACTATCAAGGTTTAGCATGATCAGAAGACTCGTTTAGCAGCACTCGAAAATGACAAGGGAACACTGTTGCGTTTGTTACAGCGAACCGTCATGGCGACACCTGCAAGCATAACAACCGGGGTCGTGATAAGGATGATTGGAAAGCAATAATGAGGATCGCCATGGGAGTTTATAGTACCATTCATAACACCTCTGCTTGCAAGATGAACAGATCGAGCGACATAGCATGTCGGCTACACCTGAGTCTGCAGGTACCCTAACCGGGATAATCGTCGCCTGACTACCTGTGACCCACTTACTACTAAAGACTCTAAGCCTCCAAGGAGATCCGAAGCCCTAATCCCCAAACCTGACACCCTCAATACTTCGTCCTAATTCCAGATACCTTGAATAACCCCGATATCCTAATTTCCTGTTTATACCCCAGATACCTTGTTTCCACCGATACCCCTACTACCCCCCGATATCCTAAACCCTAAACCCCGCTGCCCTAAAGCCCGAAACCCTAAACCCCAAACCTCGAACCCTAAACCCCCATAGATCCCTTCAAGGAATCCTTATGGTACCCTTTAAAGGAACCTCGTTTCAGGTCGTCGGGTCCTTCGAAGCAATTCGTTGGTACCTGCGCGAGGCCAAGAAGCGAATCGACCGGATCCACCCGAGACTCCGCGACAACGCAGGCGGCGATTTTTGTTGCAAGTGCTGTAATAGTATTTTTTCCTGATAAGAATGATTTACCAGTGGTTTACAAGCTGTTTCTAAAGGGTGTACGGTGGGGGTCTAGATGAAAAGTTAGCAATGGTATCCAGTACGCCCTAATATCCCCATAAGCCACAACCCTTTTAATTCAGGCCCCTATACAGGATTTAGGCTTAGGGTTCAGCGTTCAGGGCTGAGGGCTTCGGGTTTGTGAGCCTTTGGATAGGTTGACAGGGCGCTTGGAGAGAACTTCTGTGGGGGGGTTATGGTCTCAGTGGCATCGGATCTGTATCTGTGCAGTTGCAGAAAGCCGCCTGGAGGAAAGGAACTTGGTAAAATGGGCAGCTCATCAACTCCATTTGCGAACTCGTGTCTCTGCTGGAACTCTGGAGTTGCGTCTGCCTTCATCGATGGGCTCGCAGCCAGGATCGTGAGCTTTGGCACCCCATTGAGCCAAACAAGGCTAACGAACAGCTGAGAGATCAGACATGGCTCGCGAGCAGTACCACGGTCAGCCTTTCGGCAGAGCTTTGAAGTGTGGTGCGGCTGGGGAATCAGAAGGTGATGACCTAACTAGCATCCGAGATGTCAAGACTCAGGGCTTAGGATTTCCTGGCACCCAGGCTTTTTCTTGCGGTGAATTTTTCGCAGACGCCCTCCACCATCCGGAAGCGTTCGTTTCGCTTTTTGTTATAAGAATTTCGGGTTTAAGTTTCAAAACGGTTCTAAACCTTAAGCCCCAGACCCAAAACCCTAGACCCCTAAACCCTTAAACCCTAAACCCCTAAACCCTAACCCCTAAACCCTAAACCCCTAAACCCTTAAACCCTATACCCTAAACCCCCAAACCCTGATTAGCCCCTAAACCCTGACCCCCTAAACCCTAAACCCCCAGGCCCTAAACCCTAAGCCCGAAAACTCTGACAGCCCGGTTTCCTCTTAGCTCCAGCCTGCAAGTCTGCATCGGGTTTTTAGGAGTTCAGGGGTTAGTGTAGGGGCCTTACCCATAGGCCCCATAGTAGTTCCTTTTGGGGTTCATATGTAGAATCCTAGAAGGTAATCCCCAAAAGGAACTACTATGGGGCCTATGGGTACTACTTAGAATAGGGTTCCTTTAAAGCCCTCCTTTAAATGGGGGCCTATATAAGGGATCTATAAGGGTACTGTAATATAGGGGCCCTCATAATTCGAACACGGTTTGGGTGCATATTATACGATAACTATTAACAGTAACAGGAATAAAAACCAGTTTGTATTTATTAAGGCTCCTACTTTAGGGTTTTATATTTTAAGATTTAGGATGCTAGACCGAGTACCTCCAAACTTTGAGAGCGCATTGCAGCTAGTTGGGAATCATATCTGAACCTTCTGTAGAGCTATACTGTCACCATATATCGCCTGGGCACTGCAACTACGTCCCAACAAATCGCAGCCCTAACCTCCGTTTCGCGCCCCTCCTACCGGCAAGCTTAAAGCGCTCCACCACGCAAGGCACAGTAAAGCTGAAAGCGCCTAAAGTTCGTCCATTCTCCCTGCTTCACACAGTAGTCGTAGTAGTAGTCGTAGTAGTAGTAGTAGTAGTAGTAGCAGCAGCAGCAGCAGTAGTAGTAGTAGTAGTAGTAGTAGTAGTAGTAGTAATAATACTCATGGTAGTAGGAGTAGGACCAAATAACCAAACTCTAATGCCTCAACCCGAAACCCTGATGTTTTGATTCGCAGAGACCCTAAACCCTAAACCCCTAAACCCTAAAACCCTAAACCCTAAAACCCTAAACCCTAAAACCCTAAGAGAGGCCTCGTCACCAGGCTCGCCGACTACGAGGCCCATCCCAGTAAGTACAACTGGGAGTTTCCGAAAATTAGGGGTACCTTATTCGGGGGTCCTTATAATAAGGATCCTACTATTTAGGGTACTATATTAAGGTCCCCTATTTTCGGAAACCCCCAGCTGAACCCCACTTCAAGGCACTTTGGGCTTTTAGGGTTGTTTAGGACTCCTAGGCCTTTTGTGGTTTTTGTGTTAGGGATTTGATGGGTTATATTATTGTTGATGTCTATGGGTCATCGAATTCCTGCGGTGTCTTTACAGGGTTCCTGGGTGTTGGATACGCGCTTTGTGGGGTTTGGGGATGTTTCGGGGTGGTCTAGACGTTCGGAGGTGGGAGCTTATGATTTTGAGCATCTTCGGCTCAGGGTGCAGGGTCTATATTCCTATGGAAGAACGGTGTACCCTAAGGGGCCAAAGTACTCAAGCAGCATATGTTTGCAGCCCAAGGGCTTCCTGTGTGGCACCTTTGGGGCTTGAATGGCTGGAGTATGTATCTCCTGTACTTGGTCCCTGAAGGCCACAAGATCGAGCGTAGGGTTTTGAGTTGTTACCGAACCTGGAACTCAGACCCGAAGGGGCCAAAGGTCCCACATGTTGACGTGCCACTTCGTCTTCTTGGTAGCTGAGTAGGTAACCTTTAACTTTTTAGAATCCTACCATACTTGAAAAGATGTTACCCTCTTTTGGGCTAGGGTACTCAGCCAGTAAGTCTTAACTTACCTCTGGTTAGTAGGGAATGGAAGAATGGTAGTAATAGTAGTTAGAATTGTACCCCATTCCTCCATTCCCTACTAACCAAAGGTAAATTATAGGATTATTAAGGCCCCTATATTATCGTACCCTTATAGATCCCTTATAGTAACCCTTATAGACCCCTTTATAAGGCCCCTTTCATTCCCAAAGGTAAGTCTTAAGGTCTGGTGAAGGATTTGGCGGAGAGTCGAGCCCTGGACTCTGCGTGAGAGGCCGTTCCCTCGGGGTCCCCATTGAGAGTTAGGATTCGGGGACCCTTGGGAATATAGACCCTCTCAAAAAAAGGCCCCTTTTAAGAGAGCCAGAAGGTAGGGTTCAGAAGGGGTACCCCTTTCGGGGGGTCTCCCTAATACTACTACCTACCCATGCTCCGAGGCTTCCTGGTTTACCGCTGAATTTATGCAAATAGGGGACCCTAAAAAAATATCTTAAATGGTAACTGGTAGGATCCTTATTATAAGGACCCCCCAAAATAAGGTACTCATTGTATTCGGAAACGCCCATTTTTCGTGCCGGAGGTTGGAAATTTACGTGGAGCTTTAGGGTTCTTGGGTTTGGAGCTTTGGGGTTCGAGAGCTCATGGGGCCTTCGTTTACTAGGATCCAGAGTAGGCCCTTATTCCCCTTTTTTAGGGTTTAGGTTCCCCTATAACCCCCTTTAGCCCAAAAAGGGCACCCTTTTTATTCCTAGGTTACTCTTAGGTCTAGTTGTTTAGGAGTCCGATGCTTCCTGCGAGCAAAAAACGCCTGCAGGAGTCTTGGCAGAATGGGGCCCGATATCTTCTGCAGACCATGATGTTGCCCTGGCCTGCTTATTTGGTTTAAGGTTGAGGGTCGGGTTCCGACATGTTTTGTGTGGCATTTTAGGACTACTATGGCTGTATGCTTTCCTGCTTGTCACCGTGTGCAGACCCTGATCCCCCGAGCTCCAAAACCCTAAATACCCTCAGCCCTAAACCCCTTAGCCCTCTCCTGCCCCTCAACTTCAAGCCAGGTTGGATGCCAACAACGACCTCGTTGCCGAGTGCAAAATTGTCCAGAGGCAAGGGCTAGCGATGCAGGGCTGAGTGGCCTATTGTCACGGCTTGAACGGAACTGAAAGTATTCCTTCGGGCTCTTGATCATAAGTCATAAGTATACTTTAACATAAGGTAACCCAGTACCCTGTTCTGGTTCGTAAGGCCCCCATATCAGGGTTTGGTGGTTTGGGGCGTCGGGTTTCTGGATCCCAGAATTTACAGTCGGGAGGGTCTGGTAATGCAGAGTTTCACACAGTTGAATTTACGCCTCAATTTTATAAACCCTAAACCTCAAACCCTTAACAATATGCAGGCTGCGATTTTGGTTTCGTTGGGAGCCCTTGGCTGGCTCATTCCGCTATTGCCTGAGGCCCACAAGATGGTGATCTAGCGTTGCGCTACAGCGGGTAACCTTGCAGTCAAGCCTAGATTCGGGAATGCACCTGAAGCTTGTAGCTGAATCCTTATAAACCAAGAAGGCAGCCAGAAAGTGGGGCTCGGAATACATACCACTGATATTCTGATATTCCCTGCCTGGTCCCCTCATAATCATGCCATAATCTATCCCAAAGACCCTTCATGTAAGTATCGAGACCCCTACATTCGAAATTGCCCCTCCTTCGATGCCAAGCCTTGATCGTCTAAACCGCAGCAACAGAGGACGCCTTGGGTACTGCCCCCACTCTGTAACTGCTAGACAAAATCTACGATAGTGTGATTCTACAAGACAAAGCCCTTACCATGACCCCTAATATAGGCTGCACCAGGGTGGGAGGCAGTACCAAAGTACACCAGCTTGAGAGAGAAGGTTCTCTCTACGAAGACCATGAGTCCTAAGACCTTCACTGTAAGTAGACAGAGACGGAATCCGAGCACCCTTTTAGACTCCAAACGATGAACTGTTGTTTAACGTCCAATCCCCATCCCCTGGCAGCCGAAACCCCCAACCCCCCAAACGGATCATGCACTGTTTGCGAAGAACATGAGTCCTAAGACCTTCACTGTAAGTAGACAGAGACGGAATCCGAGCACCCTTTTAGACTCCAAACGATGAACTGTTGTTTAACGTCCAATCCCCATCCCCTGGCAGCCGAAACCCCCAACCCCCAACCCCCCAAACGGATCATGCACTGTTTGCGCGAGATGTTGCGGAGGTGGAATTATGAGAAGACGGGGAGAACGCTGCACTTGGAATCACACTATAACAATACACCCTCACCCTATTCCAATTTTCAAGGGCGTAGATTACAACCTGGTCGTCCTAAACCCCAAACCCCTGCGACCCTTGTGGTGATATAGAAGCCAGTTTCTGCGAACAATAGCCATCCTCACAGTCAGTACATCTTTGAATTACAGTGGCCCTTGCAGCAACCCTGCTAGCAGAACCCATAGACCCTGAACCCTAAGCCCAAAAGCAAAGGAGAAAGCCTCCTGAAAAGCCTTCGGGCTTACAGGGTAACCCCGGCTCCCGACCGTAAACCCTGGAACCCGACAGTAGATCCGCCGAAAGCTCTCAGATTGGCAGGCTAACCCCGGCTCTCCGCAGCATGTGCGCCGGCTACGACGTGGAGCTCTTTTTTGTGCTTCCGAGGACTGGCAGTTCAAAACCGTTCCTACATTCCTACTTGTCCCAGCAATCAGGGACCTCTGTAGTCTGAATAAGATCACTTTTGAAGGGTTCTTTTGTACTATAATAAGGATACGGGCACCTATTTCGATGAGGTGCTCGCTGCAGGATTGGAGTTGCTGCGGTTTATGCCTGACACAGGTATGAATCCCCAATGAACTAAGATGTTACCAGACGGCTGCGATAAGGGCTAGGAGTTGTTTTCTTGTCCCAAGTCTGAACCTGAATGCTCTAATTAGGCCCTAAGCCTCAACCTCAAGTCCTTCAAGCTCGCGCAGAGGATCGTTCTCCTCTGCTGCCTGGAGAAGCCCGACGACCCACGAGTGGGTCTGCTGAAAGATCTGCTGCCACACCATTTTGACAGCTACGGAAAGAAGCGCCTTGCATCGAGTTTTATCGGCAAACCTACACTACCGCCGAGCCCTGAGCCACCCTAAAGTGCTGTAATAAGAATGCCAGCAGGATCCTTGCCTTAAGCCTTCAATCTTTAAGGTTTAAAGCTTGGGGGTTCGAGTTCAGCATGTTAGGGTGTAGATTCACGTTCGGGGTCGGGCTGTACGTATTTATTCAAAGAGGTGTTTCACACCTAGTACGCTGACCTCTTCAACCCTACATGAACTGTGTAAATCCTCGTCCTGAATAGCAAACCTCCCAAGTATTGTTGTCTTTTGAATTGCTTTGTAGCATTTATGGGGCCCATAGGATAGCTTGAGCTGTGTTGTGCTTCTCATTCTGAGTTACGGTAAACTGCCAGTGGCTGTTGGCTTCTGGGTATAAGCAGGCAGAAGCAGAATATCAAACAGAGGCCCCAGCCGAACTCACCACAGCTCAAGGCTTAAGCGATACCTGGCCGGCATGGAGCTGTAAGCCTAAACCCAACACTCATGCAGAGCTTTTTTTCCGTTTTTTTGTAGTAAAGAGAACGCCATGCAGACACTTACAAACCCTTGCAAGCCAACCAAAACCCTGAAAGCCGAAACCTAGCCAAAACCCTGAGAGACCCCAGTTGCAAACCTTTCGACCCCAAGCTCTAAAACCCTGAACAAGAAATCAGGGAAGCCTCCCCAGAGAGCCCAATACCCCCGAAATAAGGAGCATAGCTTAAATCATGAGGCCCTATATAATTTAGGCCATATATTCCTTAATTAAGAGGTATTGGGCTCTCTGGGTCTTGCCAAGGAAAAGCGTAAGGCACTGGCAGCCGGGACCTGGACTCAAGAAGCTGCTCACGCAGTACCAGGAGGTTCCTGGGCTTCAAGGGTTTCGAAGAAAAGGATATTATGGGTTCCATAGTAGGGTTCCCTTTCAGGGTATTCGAGGCTCCATAGTGGGGTTCCCTTTTCAAGGTGCAGGATGGTTCGGGGATTGCAGGTTCCGCAAATCCCCAGCAAAACAAACCCTACTATAACAGTAACCATTCTCAAGAACCTTCAAGTTCAGACCGTGAGGTGCGCAATCAGCTGATTGTCTCCGGCGACGCCGCGCCGCAGGTCAGGTCTTCTCCCCATGCGTGTGGGCTTTAAAGTGCTCATTATCATGAGGGCTCTTACTGTATGCTTTCTGGGCTATCCCTGAGTCCAGGCGCTGGTCATGCCCTGATTTCACAAACTGGCCGTAATGCGTTGGTCAAAATTTCAAAAAACTGTATCCCTTTGTAGTCCTTCCATACGTACGGTTCAATGTACCGCAAAACCCAATTCATTGTCAAGGTCCCGAGGAACCTGTGATTCTGGACGTAGGATTTACGGTTTCAGGAGTTTCTGTGCCGCCAAGAGTCGTGTGGGAGCATATGTACACAATGTGCTTCCAGAAGGACGTCACGTCGCAATCCTCAAAATACTAAGAAAATTCAAGGGGGCGTTCCTCAATCCTTCCTCACTGAACACATGACCTTTGAAAAAGATGTGGCTCCGCATCTCGCACTATGAATCCATAAGATGTGAACCCTGAACCCTTTCAAGGTTCATTCGGTCCCAGCAATCGCAGCAAATCTTGGAGCCCTGGCAACCCTAAACCTTAAACCCTAAAAAGTGGCTCATCCGATTTTTTGAAGCTGCCAGCATCCGACTCTCCAAGCTTGTCCTTAACCCTCCAAGGTCCTGGAAGCTTGTGGCCTTTCCTAGGATGCCCAGTAGTACCCTTATTCCCTTTTTGTAGTCCTAGGTTCCTTATAAAGTTACCCAATACCAAAAAGAGAGTCCTTTTTCTTCTTAGGTTACTGGGTATCCTAGTTTTGGTGCCCGTCATTTTATGCGCTGACGCCCTGAACCCCGAAAGTCCGAAAGCTTAAACCCCACAACCCTGAAGCCCCCAAGTTAAATTTTTACCGAACCCTTCAAAATTTCCGTTGAAGTCCTTTCCTTCTGGGCTATATAGGTCACGTTTCTTCGGAAAGCAGTCGGTGGCTTCATCGGCGCAGCCGGTGCGGAGTGTCCCCAGGAGGACCGTTCTTGTAGCTACAGTAGAGGTTCCATCAAGGTGTGGGGTTTCGGGTTCCAGACCTCGGGCTAAGGATGTAGGGTTCAAGATTTAGTGTTTCAGACTTGGTGTTTAGGGCTCAAGATTTACGGCTGAAGGTTCCAGGGTTAAGGGTGCTGACACTTGTTCAGTACTTTTTCAGTTTAGAGTTTATCGGGAAAAGGTCCCAGATTCAGGGTTCAGGGTTCAGGGTTTTTTCGGTTTGGGGGTTTAGGGGTTCAGGGGTTCAGGAGTTTGAGGGTCAAGGGTTTAGGGGTTTAGGGGTTTAGGGTTTTGGGTTCAGGCCTTAGAGTAGGGTTAAGCCGCAACGGAGCTCGGAACTGCTGTGGATGAACACACTCCTGCAGTACGTAACGCACCTCAAACTAGAGGAATCATGGATACAGACTGTAGTGCAGACAATGCCCTTTGGCTGATAATGCAGAGTTTTGTCCATGAGCAATAGTTAGGAGGAGATAAGATAGTTGCGTTTTGTTGTTGTTGTTGTTGTTGCTGCTGCTGCTGCTGCTGCTGCTGCTGCTGCTGCTGCTGATGTTGTTGTTGTTGTTGTTGTTGTTGTTGTTGTTGTTGTTGTTGCTGTTGCTGTTGCTGTTGCTGTTGCTGTTGCTGTTGCTGTTGCTGTTGCTGTTGCTGTTGCTGCTGTTGTTGTTGTTGTTGGGGCTCAGGGTTTGTGGTTTTAGTGGTTGGAGGCTCAGGGTTCGAGATACAAGGATGTATGTGCCTTTGGGACTGGATGTCTGAGCTCTGGCCTTTGGGGATGCAGTGGCTTTGGCCGCGCCTCGAAACTAACATGGAGCCACTCATCGTAGAGATATCATCGGCGCTATTTCAGATGCCACGTACCTTTGCAGGAGTCACGGCAGGGTTTTGGCGTTTCAGTGCTTGGATGCAACAGCACTGTACTCTAACATAGTGCTCATGGTTCCATTCTGGGGTTCACGATTGGGGCATCGTTGCAGATTTGGTAGTTTTGGGAGCTTGGTTTAGAAGCTTTTCGTTGAGGGTTTGCTTAGGTTTCAGGATTTCGTCTAGAGGCCTTTCTGCCCAAGCTCCGGCTCAGGCTTGCCACTGGAAGAAGTCAAAACCCAGCCAGTCCAATACTCCTCAATGAAGGAATGAACCTAGAAGTTCTAAGCGGAAGCCGTGAAGGAGTCCGAAAAGAAACTTTGTATAACAAAGACTCGCTGACAAAAGCTTTTTCAGGACGATGGCCTGCGGCACCTTCCCCCCAGTGTCCGAGATCAGGTGGAGGCGTTGATGCGAGAGGCACCTGTTTAGCACGGGAATGCTATGGTTAGTGTTCCTAGTAGTAGAGTAGGTAACCTTTACCCTGTTGGGGTAGTATAGTCTCTATATAATCCGTATATAACCATAAAGGTTACCCTTTAGTTCCCCCTGCTACCCGACAAGTAGGTGTTTCTTCAATGCATTTCAACTCAGGGGCTTAGGTCTTCCTGCAGGGGTTTGGTGGTGGAGTTTGCTTGACCTTGGATTGTAGTAGCTTGTTTTGCTCAGCATACGGTGCAGGTCATGCCGCAATTCAGAGCGTAGGCAAGATCCTCGTCATCTACAGTTTTGGGATGTACTTCAGGAGCATTAGGGTCATAGAGCGGAACGTTTGAGGAACTCCGTCCACCACAAAAGAGCCCGCAACCGCCCGTGGTAGGTCGAGGGATGGAGTCTGGAGCTGCAACGCCACAATGCGCAGGCGTCTGTCACATGAGGGTTCTTCTCGCGATCCTGTGCAGGGTATCATGCGCTTGGGGCCGGGTTTTAGGGCAGGTGTTTGTTTACTTCCTGGTGTCCCATTTTAATGGTGATCACAATGCTGGCCATACTAGTTGTTGAGGTTTCATAGCAGGGTCCTGGATTATCTGATCGAAGACTGTGGCAAATGAGCGACCTGTGCATCTGAGAAGCTAGTTTGGTTACTTCGGTTGAATAGGACATCAGCGTATAACTGCTGTAATCTGCTGTGTCAGTGTTCTGTAGGCATTGCATAGTTTGCAGAGCTTAGGGTTGAGATTCCAGAGGAAGTGATAAGCGAGTATGAGCCGTGTAATCTCTTTTTCATGCGTACGTAATGCGAATGCAATACATGGGGGTTGTGGTGCTCACTTTTCAACAGAAACCTGAGCGGTTGAAGTTCATCTGCG